CCTGATAATAATACTGTATAATAACTATATAATAACCTGATGATACTGTATAATACTGTATAATAATTAGATAAGGATACTGTATAATGCATACTGTATAATTATGTACTGTATAATAACTTGATAATCTTGATAAAATTGATAAAATAGTGGTGATAATGTTATAATAATCTTGATAAAATTGATAAAATAGTGGTGATAATGTTATATCTGACATAAAGAGAAACAGTAATATACTGTTAATAGTGATAATTAGTGATAACAATATACGATGAAAGATTGCGCAGTATTGCTGTAACTACAAAATAAAATACAATACATTTCGATTTTGGAAATGAGTTAAAATGCAAATTTAAACAATAATTAAATAGAAAAAGACTTTGAAATTTGAATTCAGAAGAAAAAAAATGGGATTAGTGAAGGCAAAAAATTTCACAAAAATGAAAAATTGAATAAAATAAATTATCAGACTGAATTTTAAAAAAGCAAAAATTTCAACAAATTTGATGAAATTTGCAAAATAAATTTGTGATAATAATTATTGCAATAATTTGGAAAAAAAATCATTTTTAAAAAACTAATGCTTGTTTGAATTATTATTATTTCTATCGTGCCATAATTGAAATACTTAGCTTATTAGAATATTTAGCCAAGGATATATAGCCAGTGTATAGCCAAGCTTATTGGAATATATAGCCAGGAACATATGGCTCAAAATTTTTGTTCTATTCAAAAGACAACATACATATTATATTTATATCAATACGATAATCCATATTTGTAGTCATCTTGAAGATTAAATTAAATTTACTGTAACTTCCAAAAATTACGAAGTAAATTTGCTGTAGCAATATCAAAGTTCTTTCAATAATTATCAGGAAAAACGGAAACGGAAATCTCTTACAAGTTATGCAATTAATCAATGAACTTATCGTTATAATCCAAATTAAATGTTTCCATTCAAAATTAATTTTTACCATATAATAAAAAGTTAAATGTCGAGTTCTGTTAAAATTTAAACAGAAAAATTAAATGAAAATTTCAATTTAATTCATGATTTTGATAAAGACTTTGATAAGAATTTTGATATAATCAATTAATTGATTCACTTGTTGTCCATACTATTTGTAGTGTGAAGTAAGTTGTTCACTTAAAATTATTAATAACACGAATTATTTAATTAATTTACCATCAATATTTCTGTTATCATTAATCAGAATTGAACTTTTTCCACATTACCAATATATATTTCATTATTAGTTCCGTTTTAACATTTTATTTTTCAACGTATTCAATTGAAATTTATTTCAAAATAAATTGACTTTTCAAAATAAATTGATTAACTTTCTTTTAAATTTCGAAAAAAACAAAATATAAATTTGATTAAAAATTTTTCGAAATGGTATTTTAGCACTTTTTTTTTTAGTAAATGGTAATTACTTTATGGTAATGAATTAATACATCAGTATCATTTGTGATCTGAAATAAGATATTTGCTTAAAAAAAATGCATTACTTAATTACTTAATTCTTGTCCACAATTTAGCGAAATGATAATACATTGCGTAGTAGTGATATAATTGATAGATATTATCACTGATCTAATTAGGATAATTATTTATGACTAATCTAACGTATAATTCACCGAGCATAATTTTATTATTTCAGTTGATTTTTATTTTTCATTCTTTTAATTTAAGACATAAATTTAAGTAAGATACAACGATATAAATCTAAATCTGAATTACAATTAATTTGTGCAAGAAAATTAATTAGTGTAAGGAAAAAGAAAGAAATGAAAAAGGAAAAAAAAACAAGAGAAAGTTAATAATACGATAATTTTCCCTTCCACAATCAGTTTTTTTTTTCACTTTTAGTTGTCCCTCTTTTTTGTATTATTTTTATGCACTATCAATCGCTATCATTTAACCTTTAACCTATTAAGGACAATATTTGGCATATTTGCATATAGTATAAAACTCATGCATTCAATTTAATTTACATTTATTCTAATTTCATACTTACATATTTATTGTAGTTAATAAGTTAGGATAATAATGAAGTAGTTTTAATGCTTTTATTGATCAAAATTTTCTTAATGATTAATTACCCAGCAGCATATCGTATCAGTCACGTAATCATTAACAATATTTCGATTGTTATCTTTGGATGTTATCGTTGAATTTTTAAAAGAAATACGTGGGAGGGAGAAAAAAATGAAACGAAAAAAGAAAAATAAATTTGAAATGTGTTGAAAATTTTCTCATTCATTAGAGGAATTTCCATTGTTTAATCGTTAATATACCATATGGTTGTCCTCAATTTACCTTTCTGATCAAAAATCAACATTTTCTTTTACTTTCATTTTTTTTTTTTATTATATAAATTTATAGCACAATTCTTTTTTCCAACAATTAAATTTAAATTTGATTTGATCAAAAATTTTGTATATTCAAAAAAATTCAAAAAAATTGTTAGATATAATTTTTTTTTGTTTAGCTTAGTAATAACAACACTGGAAATGTTTTTAAAAATAAATAAAATCAGAAGCAATTAGAATTAAATTATTTTTAGCTTTTAGAAATAATTAAAATTTGAAAGGAGTAAAATTACATTTTCAGTTCTTAGAAATAATGAAAATTTGATTTAAAAAAAATTAAAATTTAATCGTTTAAAAAAATTTAATCGCTATGTTTAAAATTCAATTTTTTCAAAAAATTTAATTGCTTTGCTTGAAATTCAATTTTTTAAAGAATGATTAAAATTTCAAAATATATATTTTTTAAAAAAAAACGATCAAACTTTTTTTTTAAATAATTAATAATTAAAATTTGAAAAAATAATTTTCTTCTTTGTTCATTTATGCATTTATTTATGCATATATTCGTATGTATTTTATATGTTTTACGTACATATTGAAATGAATTAAATTAATAAATGAAATGAATGTATTCATTTTTAAATTTCAATCATTTATCTATCTTTGAACCGCTAAAAATAAAGTCTTTTTTTCTGAGAAAGATTAGTTTGAAAAGTGAAAATTTACATTTTTATGCTAAATTGCTTAACAAGAATTGAAAAAAAACATTTCGAATTAAGCAATTAATTAAACAAATTCTTTTCTATCCCAATAATTTATTTTCATTTTGCATTATTCGCTTAATTTTGTTTGCAACGTTCCAAACATTTCGAGCGAAGAATAAACGATTGAAAACATTTTTTTTTATTGTATTACACAAAATTTCAAAATTTAAAAAATAGAAAATCAGAAAACAATTTGAACAGAATGTTGAATTTGAAAAAAAAAAAAGTGGCATCGATCTGTTATATTTAATTTTCGTTTTCTGATGCACGGGATGAAATTAATAAATTTTGATTAAATGAAGATAAACAATTTCAAATATCTACAATTTTGTGATTAAGTACTTGAGTACTTCATATTTCGATAAATTTTGATCTTGTATGAAGCAATTTTTTTTTTTTTTCAAAGAATTCACTGTGATATGTAAATGAATATTTTGTATGGGAAAGTTAACCATAAAAGAAAATTAATGGAACTGATATGCATCTAATAGACAAATAATATAATGCTTTAATTAAAATAAATTTATTCCAATTCATCAAGTACTTCGAAATATTTTGCAAAAATAAAAATTTAAATAATTTCAATGAAAGCGAGATAAAATTAAATGCTTGTAAGCTTCATAAAATTTCCTAATTTTAATTAAATTTCAACAAAAAAAAATTAATCGCTTTTTTATAAATATTAATAATTGCTTGGTTGTGATTTTTCAGTGACAATTAAATGATCATTTCTATCCGATCATATTTTGTCCCTTTTCGTAAATCTGCTTTAAAATGGGAAAAAAATCTTTAACTGAACATTGTTGATTTCATTAAAAAATTTAACAGATCGAGCTGGAATTCGATGCATTCAATGATGGTTTGTTGGATTCAATGGATCCAGTGGAAATGTGACGAATTCAACGAAGGTTCGATGGATCCAATGGATCCAGTGGAAATGTGACGAATTCAACGAAGGTTCGATGGATTTAATGGATCCAGCGGAAACGCGACGAATTCAACGAAGGTTCGATGGATCCAATGGATCCAGTGGAAATGTGACGAATTCAACGAAGGTTCGATGGATCCAATGGATCCAGTGGAAATGCAAAGAATTCAACGAAGGTTCGATGGATTCAACGAATCTAGCCGAAATTCGATGAATCGAAGGAAGATTCGATAGAGTCAATTGAATTTAACAGGATTTCCATATATTATGCTAAAATTCGATGAATTTATTCAGTGGAATTTAATTTTATTGGAATATTTAAATCTTCTGAAAATTTTCTTTTTTCTTTTTTGGTAGACTTTCTTTCTTTTTTCTTTTTCCTTTCTATTTTCAACAAATAAAGAAAAATGACTAAAGCAAAACAAATTGTTAGTAAATGCGTGCATAGAAAGCTCAATCTTTTAAAAAAATCGGAGAAAAATTTTTTTTTCTCTCTATTCTTCTTCATTTTTCTTTTTTTCTTTTTTTCAATTGAATGATAGGTTTGAAAATTTTTTCGATAGAATAATAGGAAAAAAGAAAAAGAAAAAAAAGAGGGAAAGAAGAATTTTGTCGTTGGTTTATTTTAGATTCATTTATTTTTTTTCTTTTTTAGAGAAAGAAAGGAAAGATAAGAGAGAAAAAAGGAAGTAAAGGAGAGAAAGGAGGCGAGAGGGAAATGGAAGGCGAAAAAGAAGGAGAAGTGGATTTGAATAAAAATGAAATGATAAATTTACCAATGAGAGATTGGAAGATGGAAATTATTTGAAAAGATTGAACAAACAAATTATTTTATTTGAATTTTAAATCACTGACGAATTTTTTTTTTTTTTGCATATTTTAAATTTGTATTTATTGAGGAATAATGTGTACAATAATTTATGAAAATATTATTTTGTTCAATTTTTTTCCGAAAAAATTTTCAAAATAAAGAAAAAGAGACTAAAATGAACTCAATGTGAATCATTTACGAAAATATTTTCATGTAATTTGCCGCATACAATTATTTGTTTATTTGCTTATTCGTTTATTTGTTCATTTGTTTGTTTATTTGTTTGTTTATTTGTTCGTTTATTTGTTTGTTTCCTTATTACTTCATTAATTTATTTGTTTCTTTATCCGTTTTTTTTCCGTTTGTCTGTTTGTTTGCTTCTCTGCTTGTTTATTAGTTTAATTTATTCATTTGTTTATTTGTTTATTTGTTTATTCGTTTGTTTGTTCGTTTGTTTGTCCATTTTTTGGTTTGTTTGTTTGTCTGTTTGTTTATTTATTTGTTTGTTTGTTTATTTGTTTATTTGTTTCGTTTCCTTCTTTCTTTCTTTGTTTTGTCTGTTTGTTTCTTTGCTTTTTATTTTTTGTTTGTTTGTTTTTTTTTTGCCTAAAAAATTTTCATATAATCTTTGTCATCTATTCATAATTTTTTCCTTTCTAAAGAATTTTTTCCTATTAAAATTTTAATATGGAACTTCTTTCTTTTATTTTTCATTTATATATTATCTTTTTCCATCCATTTTTTTTTTTTTTTTTTCTTTAAAAACAGCACACATTTTTACTTCATTTCGTTTATTTTTTGATAAAAAAATTGATTTATAAATTGAAAAAAAAAAGTTTGTCATGTTCTATTCTTAATTTTTTTTAGGATCGAAATTAGAACTTAATGAATAAAATTAAAATGTGAAAAAAAAGCAAAATAGTAAATTACTAAAGTTAATTTTTAAAAAAAACTGATAAATTGTATTTTTCTCAAAATTTCATATGAATATTGATTGATTGTTTCTTTATTTTACATTTTCAGGATTGAAATTTATACTTAATGACTAGAATTAAAATTTGAAAAAATAGTTTTTTTTTCCTCCTTTCTTTTTTTTTTCTTTTCTTGTTACTTTTATTTTCAATAATCGTTTTTCAAGTTATTAAATAAATAAATGAATTAATTACTATACCTTAACAAATAAGTATGTATTATCAGTTCTTTTTTCTTTTTCACAATTAATTAAACATAAATCGATAAATAATTGTAAATTTACGTATGTAACATATATTGAATAAACACCTGTATACAATACTTAAAACTTTTATTGCTCTTTTAAATTTACCCACAATAAATTGTTTGCTTATTTCCGGTATAAGAAGAGAAAGAAAAAAAAAGAAGAAGGAAGTAGCAATCTTTTTTTGATAGGAGGTAAAATGCGGAGGAGGGTTGGGAAGTTAAAGATACTTTCAGTTTAAGTTAGAACTGGAAAAATGAGCAAACAAATGGCAAATGACAATGAAAAATTTCTTTTACCGAAAAAAAAGTAAAAAAGCACCAACATTGAGTAAGGAAATTGAATTTTTTTCATTTTTATTTTAAATTAAAATAATTTAATTATTAACAAAAATGTATTGCGATTTCAAGTATAAAATTTCATAGAAAATCTTCGGATGCAATTTAGTATGTGTATTTTATTTAACAATTTTAAATTCATAATAACAACATGAATTTTTTTAATCATTTAAATTTACAATTATTATTGTTTATAGATTCCAATTGAAAAATATTATAAAAAATAATATAATAATAATAATAATAATAATAATAATAATAATAATAATAATAATAATAATAATAATAATAATAATAATAATAATAATAATAATAATAATAATAATAATAATAATAATAATAATAATAATAATAATAATAATAATAATAATAATAATAATAATAATAATAATAATAATAATAATAATAATAATAAT